TGTGTGTGTGTGTGTGTGTGTGTGTGTGTGTGTGTGTGTGCGTGTTTGTGTGTGTATGTTTGTGTGTGTATGTGTATTGTGTATGTGTATATAAGCTCATAGATACCAACCATACTTAAACGGTAATATCTCAAACTTATACATGTATTCACGCTCATGCTCTTGCACAATATACAATACGCTTGTACAAGCAGAATCTTCGAACCCATTATTTGATAGAAACAGCTACATTTTTCGCTTCTCAACTCATTTACACCGCACTGGTTATTGAACAAAGTATACTTTTACGGTATTTTACTTGAGAACTTAGGTTCTAAACGCTCCTCTGCAGGCATTCACCTACCATCTAGGAAATCTTGTTTCTCTATGTATTTGTACTGACATGCTTTGGTAAAAAAGAAGTCCAGCGCCTCCTGCGCTTTGGCCGTGACAAAGTCTGGTTGGACTTGCTTGAGATTATTGACGTTCTCAGCCATGGTTACGAAGCGCTTGTTGTATCTAGTCACAGCTCAATGTAGCACAGTGACCTCCGGTCAGCTTATAATTATAACATTAGGATTTAAATAGCATAGCCTCCTGTTGAATTCAGGAGGCTTGGGCAACGGGCCTATGGCTATACGAACAGTAACTGGAATTAAAAATGTGTACTGTATCTACACTCACCGACTTTCAGAGTTGTTGCTTCGGATCAAATGTCCATATATATCGCAGGGCATTTGACAGCTACTGTCAAAGTGTCAAGTTGTCGACCAAAAAGCTCCCTCATTTTTATTTTTTGGATTTTGGAAATTATTTTTTTAGACTATTAGCAGTTATTACGTGTCACTGCTGAGTGCCCGAGTATCATAGTGAGACGGGGTTTATTATTTTATACACATATTAACTATTTACAAGTCATATGTAAATACACGTATGACACAACACACTACACGACACACAACACACAACACACTACACGACACACAACACACAACTTATAAAGACATAACACGTCATACAGTAACATGGGTGCGGATTCACTGCAGACGTATATCAGCTCGGCGGAGGGAGCGTCGCTGGTGGCCTTCTGCGAGGACTGCGAATTGCAGGTGCGTCTGTGGTGTCTGTCTTAAATTTGAAACGCTATCGTGTAGTGTATGTGTTGAAATGGTACATCTGTGAGGCACATGTGATAAGTACCTCTTGTGGTGTATGCGGCTGTATTAAGCATTTGAAGCATCATACTAAAGCATACAATCCACGCTTTCAAGTACTCGTCTAACACCCGAAACTGCTTTCGGTCTACTACTTGTGAAGGTTGTTTGGTCCAGAATCACAGCTATCTCAGCAGATAATCATATATACGTGCTGATAATCATATATACGTGAACGCTTTTGGATCACATTTCAGTTTTGGAAATGGCCAATAGCATCGGGTTTGGTGAATACGAGAAGCCCTTATGTGAGACTGCGCGTCATTCTCTATTCATAGAAAGTAATGTGAAGACTGTACAATCAATCTATGCTCTTGTCCAGTATATATATATATATATATATACATATATATACATATATATATATATATATATATATGTATGTATATATAAATAGTATATGTATATGTGTATATATATATATATATGTGTGTGTGTGTGTGTACACGTGTGTGTGTGTGTGTCTTTATATTCATATGCGTGATTAATAAGCTAACTGTCTCTATTTTTTCCCGTGTGGTATGCAGGCCATACCTATTCCAGAGGAGGTCACAATGGCAGATATCTACATTTGCCTTCTGCTGCAGTTGCTGGCCGAAAACAAAATGTAAGCCACCCATAAGTTCATGGATCTGTTGCTCTCATATCAATGAGATTTGTGTGCTTTTTCGGTCACTTTCGATTCGAATTTGGACACAAAGTGTTCGCTATAATCGACCTCCATTGTCCTGAAGTGGCTTATTTTATTAGTATTTTTGCGTCGTCAAAACCCATGTGTGTCGAACCGTCTGAATTTTAAGAGCTTGCGTTCGGGGGGTATCGTCTATGTCTGTATGTTCGGAGATCTTTGTGAGAGGTTTGGGGTAGTTGGAGTCAGTGCGTGAGTATAAGTAAGTGTGGGCGTGTATCTGTGTTAGTGTGTTCATGTGTCTGTGTTAGTGTGTTCATGTGTCTGTGTTAGTGTGTCAATGTGTCTGTGTTAGTGTGTCAATGTGTCTGTGTTAGTGTATTCATGTGTCTGTGTTAGTGTTGGTGTGTATCTGTGTTAGTGTGTTCATGGTCTGTGTTAGTGTGTTCATGTGTCTGTGTTAGTGTGTCAATGTGTATGTGTTAGTGTGGCCCATGTGCCTGTGTGTGCGGTCGTATTGTAAGATTGTTCGCATATGCTTGCACGAGCTTAGTGCGTGCAGGCCTAGGGGGGCTTGTCGATGTTCTCTGGGTTTTGTTGCTGTTTAGTGCTTGTACGTGTGTGTAGAGGCTGTCGCTGGTAATTGGTGGAGACTTAGTTAAAGATTGTGTTTTCTATGTGAAGCGTATTGATTGGCACTGTCTGCTCTATCCGATAATGAGACACGTTTGTGTCATGGGATATTGCAAGACGTGCGAATATACAATGCCAATGCTATGTTGATCACATCACACCTTTGTATAGTTCAGTCTATGCTCTCCTGCACATAGGTACACCTCCCGACTTATACGGATGTTAATACCAATCTCCCCCTCAGCACACGTGCCGAGATCGCAGCACAACGCGCGACCAGAGGACTCTCAGCACATCAGGTGACAGCCGAAGTCACCGCTGTATTGCAATTGGTGAAAGCTATTGCCAGTAGAGACTACGCAGCCATCAATGCCGCCTTCTCCACACTCAGTACACAGTTGAGGCCGGTGTTTAGTGAGCTTGAGCGGAGGTTGTGTGTGCGTTATAGACAGCAGCAGCTGGCGTTGATTGCCGAGGCGTATGTGCAAGTGCGTGTGCCAAATACGGCAGTGTTGCTAGGAACGAGTGTGGAGGAGAATAAGCAGGGTATGTGCTGAGTATTCTATTCAGGAACTTTATAAATAGATATCCACTGGTTCATTTGCAACAGGCCAGTGGGTTTGGTGTTCTATATATTTGATTCTCTTACTGGATGTGTGTATGGAGGGGCATGTGTATTAGTGATATCAAGATCTAGCTGTATTGTGTACTCATATTTGTATATATATTCCAATTCTGTGTACTGGTTTTCTGAAGAAATCTCAAACCAAGCTGATCAGCAGATACATCTGTCGAATTCAATGGTCACCGATAGCCTGACCAAACGACAGCACGTTTTGACACCGGGAATACTTCCTGTTCGTTTTCAAAGTAATGAAAGTAAGGGTGTCGACTGAGTGCACAAAACAACCAATTTCTTTATGACTTCATAACCAGCTAATCAACCGTATTCCCTTTATTATGAACAAACATAGTAGCACAGACTCTCGGCTGGACGTACGATGCCGCAACGGACATTCTGTTCCCAGTTACCGCATGTATGTTTATGTTTGGGCACTACAACCTGGCAGGCGTATGTGGTGGCGAGCGAATGTGTGCTCAGTGAATGGTGCTATGTGGTAGCGAAAAAATGCGCACTTGCAGTCCAAGAAATTTTGATCGCGTGCATAGTTCTTTGTGCGTGTATATAGTAATTTATGCGTGTGTATAGTAATTCATGTGTGTATAGTAATTCATGTGTGTGTGTAGTAATTTATGCGTGCGTTTAGTAATTTATGTGTATGTATAGTAATTCATGCGTGTGTATAGTACTTTTTGTGTGTGTATACTAATTTATGTGTGTGTATAGTGCTTTATGTGTGTGTATACTAATTTATGCGTGTGTATAGTAGTACATATTTGTATAGTAATTTATGCGTGTGTATACTAATTTATGCGTGTGTTCCAGAAACGTGCGTGTGTCAGTTAGTTTGCGCATACATGTACAGTTTGCGTCCTACTCGGTGTGTAGATTTCCGCGAGTAGACAAAGGGAATTGACTCTGAAGTGTTTGTCTTTATGTCAACAAATTTAAACACAAATGTGGTATTCGCCGGGAACAGGGATGTGTAGCAGATCGCTGGCGCGTGTCATGTCATACTTGAGTAATTATATATTAGTCATTAAGCCACGCCTATATGGATTTGCATTGTGACCTTCTGAATGTCTGTCTCAGTCTGTCTGTGTTTTTCACCGCTTATCTTGCTCGCACATCGAAGTGCTCGTATGTACACACTGTCGAGTGTACATCTGCTGTATACTAACCTTCTTGCATCTCTGCTTGTTTCATCCACGACTCTATATATAGCCCCCGCAGTGCAGCCTGTAGCTGCATCGGATATCAAGGAGCAGCTCAAGCAGCTGTCCGAGTATGTTGTGCACCTGGAGATCTAAATGTAGGACCCAATGGAGGGCTCGGACTGGCGATCATAGCTCGACCGCTGTACGCACACGCACACACCATACGCACTCATAGCACACGCGTAATCGTGGCGAGTCAGCCATTGCGGATGAGGCCTACCGAATCGACTTGGAGAACACCGTCTGGGAAAGACCCTTCGCATGTTACGTCTGTATGCACGCACACCCATGGAGTGGTTGTTATATACTCGCGCGTGCATGGGATAGACGCACTGACAACACTCATATCCGTGTATACGATCACTTATTGAGAGTCGTTGATGCCCTGCGTATATCCTGTACGTGCACCTACTTGCAAGGGTGTAAGCCGCAATCGTGCGTGTGCCATTGATGTGCCTGTGTTCTGTAGTCGCTATTGTCCGTGGAGGGCTGTCAGGGGGAAGGTCTGCGGTTGTGTTGCTGGCGACACTATCACTCATGCGATTGCGTATGCGATAGCATGGCGTCCTCAGTGAGAATCACACGGACGTTCGCCTGTTGATGGGCTCGCTTTGCACACTCCTAGTGGGCCCTACCGCACACCTCACAGGACCAGAGCTCAGACACGGGCGAGGCACGTGCGTTCATGCTTGCACATGAGAGTGCGGACGACAGAGAGAGAGATGCTCTGCCGCAGCGGTCCTTGATCGAGAGTCAACCGACTGCGTCCAGGGATCCTGAACATTGTAGGTAGGCGATGGTCGATCGAGTCGCCCCGGGGTGGAGAGGTATAGCTTGAGTGAAAGGCATATGTGTCGCAAACGGGTATAGCATGAGTGAAAGGCAAATGTGTCGCAAACGGCCGCTATGCAAGGGCCGCATGCCGTGTACCCTGATGAGAGTGAAGTATTAGACCCGGTGTGTTCTGAGTCGCATCTACTAGACTGGGCAGTAACCACAGAGCTGGCATTCCACGTGCGCTCTTATGAAGTGATAGGCGTATTCGTACGAAATGGTATTGTCCTCTACTACACTGACCGGCTATATCAGTTCACTTTACCGGTTATCGAGTGGTCGAGAACAATACACTTCTCAATAATCGTAATCGCAGTTCAAGGTTTCCTGTCAGGCGGCAGTCTCTCGCCGAAACGGGTTGGGGTCCGTTCGTGACCACACCTTGGGTGCAGGGCAGTATTTGAAGCCACGCGTAGGAGAGTGATGGTGTGGGCGTATATCACCGTAGACGATGACACAGCACTTAATATGGTGATTTGTGCATACGATGTTGTTTACGCTTGACGGATAGTAGATTACGCACCACAAGCTGTTGTGTAACGCTGGCAGAGATTGTAAGTTGCCAATTGAAATGGCCTTTATAAATACACGCAAATATCATGGCTATATACAAAACACGTTCAACTTGAAGCAGTTCAAACATTATCGTACTTTTCGCTTCAGTAAAACCACTCTTCTATGCTCTACTACCATTGTCAATTCAATGCACTCCCAATATGGCTTGTGAAGGCCTGTACATGTACAACATATGAGGTTGTAGAGAAATAGCAGAGAGAATTGTATCTAGAATTACACATCTTGGGTTTGTGCAAGGCCTATGCATGTACAACATGTAAGGTGGTAGTAGAATAGTAGAGAAAATTATATCTATAATCACATATATTGGTTTGTGCCTGTGCATGTACAACATATGAGGTTGTAGTGAAATAGCAGAGTGAATCGTATTTTGGTTTGTGCAGGGCCTGTGCATGTACCACATACGAGGTTGTAGTGAAATGGCATAGACAATTGTATCTAGAATCACTCATATTGGGTTTGTGCAAGACCTATGCATGTACAACATGTGAGGCTGCAGTGAAATAGCAGAAGAAATTGTTTCTATAAACACACATCTTGGTTTGTGCATCATATGAGGTGGTAATAGAATAGCAGAAGAAATTGTATCTGCGTGTTCTCTATGGTAGTTGGAATGTTCGGTCCCACTGTGTGTCGTACATCGCCTCTCATCTGAATCTAGATAAACGGAATGAAGTCACAGGGAAGGACAGGAGCTGCAAACGATCCGATATGCTCACATGATGACAGGCAGTGTAAGGGAATGAAATGAGTAGCCATTCGCCAGCACATATTATGAATCTTGTGCATATACGCGACAACTGCTCACAAGCAGAGAATACGCTTATTAGTTGAGGTTTGTGCAGAGAACACATTCGTTGTCCCCACTTTTTAAACAAATTATCCATTTAAACAGCACGAACCCGATCCGCATTCTACACATACAACCAATCGACTTTCGTATTCTATTTATTTCTCTGTCTACCACTACCTTGGCTGCTCCTCTCCCGCTATGTCCCGGTTTGGTTCACCAGCCACATCCAGCTGTCTAATTCCTTCGCTGAGCTCGCTAATCCCGCCACCCTCGTCCTCAGCCTGTGCCCCCACGCACGTGCTGTTCTCTCTATGTTCCTGTACATCCCCAATTGTCGTAGCATTCCCCTGGCTGTGCTTATCTGCCTCTGCATCTCCTTTCCCCCCTTCAGCAGCTGTGTGGGTGTCTATATCCGTGGCTGTGGCTGAATCCGGTGGGTTCCCGATCGGACTTGCACCCGACACCCGCGTATCATTCGCACCAGCACTTTCCGCAGTAGCCTGCAACCCCTCTCCATCCACCTGTTTCTGTCCATGGATCTCCTGAACCTTATCACCGGCCTGGGCACGTGCCTGTGCCTGTGCATGTGCTTGCGCCTGTGCATGAGCGTGCGCTTGGGCCGCCTGAGCCTCGAAGTACTGTTGCTGCTGCTGCAGTTGCTGAAACTGCTGGAACTGATACCGTCCCTGAGGTGTAGTAGCAAGTACACGTCCCCTTCCTGCACCCACCCCCACAGCCACCCCTGCGAGCGGGGATGTCTGGGCTGCTAATTGCTGAGCCGGCGTGTGATTGCCCTTGTTTTGGAATCGTGCCTGAGCAGGAATTGTGTCCTGTGCATTGGTGGGGGAATTTAGACCCAGCGCAGCCCCATCGACACCTGGTTGAGCCGCAGCATAGGCCATCCGCCCGTCCTGTGAACAAGAACACGAGGGTAAACGAGTCAACTTCTGCATTGTTTGGTTCAATCTGTGTCTTGATACAGTAAATGTGCCCATCTCAACAGAAAAAGAGTATAGCAAAAACTCAAAATGCAGGCATTTAAATCGCCGCGCAAATAGTAACAGCATTCCTCCGCAAGTATTGGCACAAATCATAGCACAAAATGCATCCTTTGCAGAATACGTCACTGACAGTTAAAATCACTAAAAGTAGCGAGGCATTGGATGCGGGGGTGGTGTATAACAACCGTCAGCGCCAGTACATAACCTTGTATTCTACACCAACCAACATTGCAATAACATGAATAACCTGCTATTAACATGACCTTTTGACCCACTTATATATATATATATATATATAATATATAATATATAATATATAAATATGTATATATA